AAGTAGCAAAACCAGTATTTAGCTCCCTCCTTCCTCCAACTCAGCTTCAAATCTTATGCTTGTTCTACTATACTGAGCTGCCTCTCTCTAATCTTTACCACTTTAAAAAAAAATCCTTGAGCCCTTTCACATAATATTCAGTATTTCACAGCTAATTTCTCCCTTCTCTTAACTATGTTACTACTTGGTTCTCTTACTGAATTTTCTCATTATACTTTGCATTGTAATTACTTATATGCATTATATATATGCAAATTTGGTATTATATCATCTAAGTTTCTTAAGTCAGGGACAATGTTTTCTTCTTTATATGTCTTTCAGTGCCTACACACTCCTTGGGATATAACAGTAGATCAGTACATATTTATTTACTGAATGAATAAATGAATGTATATTAAAATTTGGTCACTATTATACACACCAATGGAATATTTCTGTGGCCTTTTAGGAAATAATCTTAATTTCCTTCCATAGCTGTGCCTCTAAAAATCCAACCTGAACATAGTAACTTAGATGAAAAATACTTCTTGCCTGACTCCAACAAAATCAACTTTAAAAGATTCCAACACTACCAGATTTTTCCTCCTTGGAATTATATTGAATAGGCCAGGAAGAAAAGGCCTAGATGTGGAAAGCATAAAGGAAACAAAATCTGATTTAGGCTACGAGTTTCTACCTTTTATCAGACAGCATGTTTGTTCATTCTGAGCTTTTCAAAACATGAACTACTGATTAGGGAGATTTTTCTTATTTGTTTGGATCCTTTCTGTGGCCTTCTTTTCCAGGGTTGCTTCTCAGATTTCCAGGTGATAGACCAATTTAATGAGGATTACTCCTTTTATGTAGGCATAAAACGCCTTTCAAAGTTCTCTTTGCTACTCTTTTCATTCAGCTCAGAGAATATGATATTTCCACTGGGTTTCTTAATTTCCTTAGGTTTGCAGTTTTTCTAGGTCTATATGTAATTTCATTGGTTTAGGGAACTTCCTAATGAGGAAGGTCTCTCCGCCAAAGCAGGTTGGCAACTTCTCTGAAACTTGTAGTCTTAGGTATTTGCCTAGAGCACTGAGAGGTTAAATGATTTGCTGAGGATTACATATCAATTATATGTCAAAGGTAGGATTTGAACCCAGGTCTTCCTGGCACCGAGGCTGGATGTCTATCCATTATGCTATACTGTGTGGGAATGAGATAGAGAGATAGATGATTCTGTAAGGGTTTGAGGTTAATCTGATTTTCTTTAATTCCTATTTTTTAGTTCATGTTTCCCTGCTTATTCAGTCATTATTCCTATAATGTAACTGTACTTTTGGAACACTCTGTATTTTGTATATACTTAAATGTGTAGGAGAATAAACTGTATACTCCCTAAGGGCAGAGATATTTTAATTGTAGTCTTTGTATGCACAGAGTTTAGCACAGTGCCTAGAGTTATATCAGTACTTAATTAATACTTGTTAATTGATTGAATATGCAAAGCACTTTTATAATATATTAACACTGTATTCTGTGTATCACAATTCAATAAATCAAAACTCTCTCCCCCTATTATAACATGTTCAGTAATACAGATTTGACAGGTCAAATCTCATTTCTGGCAGCATAACAATTATAAATAGTAAAAGTCTAATATAACACAGTTTACAATCTCTATGTTAATTATTTTCCTTTCCAACATCAATTTTAGAAAACAATTCCCCAATATTTCAGGTTTTGTCTTTGGAAGAACTCACTGCTTCCAAATAACATTACATCTGGTGTATTCTTTTCATTTATTTCTTTTCTTTGCATTAACTTTTGGATATATTGTGATTTACACAACTTTTAACTAGGTCTTTATGAGGCATTAAAGATCTAATTCTCATAAAGAATTCCACAACTCTTCTATGGTCTTACTATGCTGAGTTGTATAGTAATGTCTTAATGTAGTCAAGGCTTATGTCATAGTCACCTTCAAACCCCCCTCAGAGAATGGATGGCCCCTTTTGGATATAATAGACATGTTTGAAACTGAAGTGAGTCCTCATTTATAGGATGAATTCAAATCATAGGAAGACTACTTTCTGCTCTGTAAAGTTAACATGGTATAGTCTATTATTCACCTGTTTCTCTCCCTTTTTTTCCCCAAAGGGTCAATGGTGTGTGTGTGTGTGTGTGTGTGTGTGTGTGTGTGTGTGTAAATTTGGAAGAATAGAGAGAATTATGACTATTCCTATATTTACTGAAATATTTTACTTTTTCAGTCAACCAACCAAATAATTTACTTCTTGTTCTCCCTCTCCCTGATTTTAAGAAGGGAATAATGATTTCCAAACTTCCCTCCTCACCAGCCCTCACAGTCCCCTGGAAGCATGGGGGTGCTGCTCTGAAGAGTAGATGATTAAATTTTCAATGTGAGCATTTACACATAGAAAATCAGCAAATGCTACAAATCAGGACTTGATTTATTGTTTTGCAGATTTTCTAGACTTATGAAAGTGATTGAGAAAATGCTAAAAATACAGATTAAATTTAGAAGTGTGTGGCAAGTACATCCCCACTCCCACCCAGAGAGCCAGTTGTTAAACATTTGCTAGCACATAGCTGCCTGGAAGTCCACTATGGTCCCAGAAGCAACTAAAGGCTTGGTCTGAAGAGTTGGAGAAGCTTTTCTTTTTACTTTAGTCAATAGGATGAGTGTTTAAAGTGATCTTAACCTCTCTGGCTCAGACTTCAGATGATCTTCCAAGAATGAAATTATGCTTCAGTGGCTTTGGATAGAGAGTAATTTATCAGCATAATTTCCTCTTTTCCGTTTCACTAATAATACCTATGAATTATGCTAGTAAATGGGGTATGGAATGGTCACCGGTACTCACTCTTGTGATGTCTCCCTTATTGTCACATGCGAGAGAAAGCCTCTAAAAAGACAGATAGTGCATTAATAGCATCCTCCACTACCTATCACTGCTGGAAGGGAGATTAGATTGCTAGTGCCGTAAGTACTAAAAGGCTCTCATACTGGCTTGACCTGAAGACTTTTTTTTTTCCTCAAGAGAATGAGCAGGACATATTTCTCTCCTTCTGCAATACAAAGGTAAATGTTTAAGAATATCCATTGTTAGTGGGAGGAAACCTTATGGATGATTAAACATGGTTTCCAAAAAAACTTTTTTATATTTCTACATGAACTTAGTGTCTGACCAAAGTACAAAATTAAATTCCAGGCCACTAAACAATGACTTCAGAAATGACAGTTCCAGGCCCCCATTAATTACAAAACAAATCTATCTGTAGAGGAGCTGAGACTTCTTTCATCACCCCTATCACACCCCAACTTGGAATGCTTAAATAAGATTTATATTATGTGATATGACTCCCAAGAATATGATTTCTCAGTACTTTCTTCCTCTCTCTCTATATGACTCTAGCCACTACTTCCCACGCTTTTCATAATATCTTAAGCCAGCATCCTTTCACTATTTGGACCATGGACATATTGTGATTTACAAAATTTTTGACTGGGTCTGTCTAATGCATTAAAGATCTAATTTGTTTAAACAATTTTAAAATTCTCCTATGCTGTTACTCTTCTGAGTTGGTTTGTAAGTAATATACTATACTTATTCCTCAATCCTATGCTTTTTACATGAGACAGTGAGGCTGATGAGACAATCCAACACAACACAGGAAAATGAATGTTTTATCTAAGGAAAAGAGCTTTGCAGTGTCACATCCCTTTGATATTTATAGGACTAGTAGCTAGAACAAACCTTATCCTTCCCAGACAAATACTGAAATGGTCAAACAGAAGTGTATGTTGCCCAATGCAATTACTTTACTTTGAATTTAACCTCTCTGGGCTTCGTTTTTCCTCTCCTATAAAATGATGAGGTTGCATTAGATGACTTCAAAGGTCTCTTCCAAATTCTGAATCTATGATCCTATGATCCCGTGATCTCCCAGGAACTGTGACAGTACTGCATGGCGGCCTGTATTCAATCATTGCCGGAAGGGAAGTCATGAAAGCCAGCAGCAGCTCAGCCCTTGACTACATACAACATAAACAAGTAAGGATTAAACCATCTAATTATACATCAAGGCAAGCCTAACAGACTTTGCTGCTCCCCCTAGAAGCTTTAATGGAGCTCAAATGATTTTTTTTTTCTTTAAGGAGCTGAGAACTAAACCAAATGAATGCATTTATCGCGGTTACTGGATAACTTCACACATTTTTCTTACAGTATATCACATATCACTGACTTGAAGGCTTTTTCAAGACCTGGATCCCCATACCGGACCCCGAGTCCCTGTCTTTTTCAGTCAGCATCTTTCTCGTGACATTGCAAGAGCTAGGTCCTCCAGAGGATGGGCGTAAGTCTAAGGAGGTGGGGAAAATTAGACAGAGGCAGGGACTGGGCGAGGTCAAGAGCAACCCTCAAGCATTTGGGACGATCCCGGGTGAGGGGAGAGACGTCAATGCCGAAGCAACTTTCCCAGCTTCGGTCTCTAGTCTCGTTAATACTATGCCTGAAGATCTTCTCCTGTGACTTGCTGCAAACAGTTAATAAAGTCTAGCCCGAGTCTGCAACAACTATCTCCCCACATCTCCTCCCCTCCAGCCGCCTCGGCGCACAGTCTCTCCAAAGTCTTCTCTCCCTAAACTCCCTAAACTCCTAAGCACGCTTGCCTCTTCTCCTCTGGAGCCTCCCATCTCAAAACCATCCAGTCCTGCTTTCCAAGGTTTTTCTCCTTTCCTTTGCCAAAGCAACAAGCAGCTTTCCGCGGGCCTCCAGTCTGTGTTGTGCAAACTTTTGCACGCAGTATCCTCTTGGCCAGTACCCCTCTCCTGAGTCCCTGCGCGCTCCCGCTCTGGCCATACCATCGTGACCCCCCCCCCCCCCCCCCCCCAGGACCGAGCTTCCCAGAGCCGTCCCCACTTGTCTAAATCCCCGCGCGTTCCCTCCAGGACTCTCGTCCTTCCTCACCCCCAACCCTCAATCCCCTTTTACTTCCAGTACCGAGGCCCTGGATGAAGACGAAGCCAGTGACAATCAGCACTGGATGCCAGTTAAACTCCGGGGCGCCCCCGTCCCAGCCGAGCCCCTCTCGATAATGAAGGACCCAGATGAGGGTGAAGATAACCGACAGGAAGCCAAGGAGCAGCGCAGACACTAGCAGACCCAAGAAGCCCCGGTAGCCCTCCATCATCTTCATTGTCCCATGCTCCGTGCACCCGCCTGTGCCAGTCACTGGAGCCCGGGCATCGGGCAGAGCAGAGGAAAAGGCGTAGCAAGGCCTCAGCGGCTGCTGGCCCACTAGACTGGGTGGCGGGGCGGGGGCAGCTTCTTCTTCTCTGGGCTGTCCCCGCCCGGGGGAGGGGCCCAGCAGCTCTTCTTCCTAGCCCTGGGATGTCCTCACTCTTTGGGGGAAAGCTTGTGGGTGGGGTGGGCAAAGAAGAAAAGAAATTGGGCGCTTGGCCCTTAAAGAGAATTTTCTCGAATGGAAATGAGAGTCGCCCCAGCCTCGAGGGTGTCTCTCCGTCTCAGGACGCCTGTTTCTTCAGTACCCCTGAATTCCTCTACATCACATAGAGACTGTTCTAGTGTTTGATTTACTTAACATTTCTTATTTTAGTGTAGTTTCTCCAAGCAGGAACTCTCTGGGTTTAGGTCTAGAGGTTTTTGTTTGTTTTTGCCTTCAGTCCTTCTTTCTAACCGAAAGTGGTTCCAGTTTCGGGGGAAGGGGCGGGGAGAGAAGGGATGGAGAGGGAGGAAGGACAGGGAAGTCGAATGGTGCAGTAGAAGCCGAGCTAGATTTGCAGTTTTCAGATGAAGAAATTAAAACTATCTCCAGTCATATGAAAAAATGCACTAAATCATTATTGATTAGAAAAATGCAAATCAAAACAATTCTGAGGTATGACATCACACCTATCAGATTGGCTAACAAGACAAAACAGGAAAATGGTAAATGTTGGAGAAGATGTGGAAAAATTGGAACATTAATGCATTGTTTGTGGAGTTGTGAATTGATCCAACCATTTTGGAGAGCAATTTGGCACTATGCCCAAAGGGCTATAAAAATGTGCATACCTTTTGAGCCAGCAATACGACTTCTAGGTCTGTGTCCCAAAGAGATCATTAAAATGGGGAAAAGAGCCACATGTACAAAAATATTTATAGCAGCTCTTTTTGTGGTGGCAAAGAATTGGAAATTGAGAGGATGCCCATCAACAACTGAACAAGTTGTGGTATATGAGTGTGATGGAATACTATTGTGCTATAAGAAATGATGAGCAGGCAGACTTCAGAAAAACCTGGGAAGACTTGTATGGACTAATGCTGAGTGAAGTGAGCAGAACCAGAAGAACACTGTACACAGTAACAGCCACGTTATGCAATGACTAACTTTGATAGACAGTTCTTCTCAGCAATGCAAGGATCTAAGACATCTTCAAAAGTCTCATGATGGAAAATGCTATTCACATCCAGAGAAAGGAGTTTGAATGCAGATCGAAGCATACTATTCGCTCTTTTTTTTCCTTCTGTTTTGTTTTGTTTCTTCTTTATTGTGGTTCCTCCTGTGAGTTCTAATTCTTTACAACATGACTAATGTGAAAATATGTTTAATAGGAATGTACATGTAGAGCTTATATCAGATTTCAGGCCATCTTGGGGGAGGAGGTAGGGAGGGAGAAGGAGAAAATTTAAAACTCAAAAGCTTTTGGATGTGATTGTTGAAAATTAAAAATAAATAAATTAATTTAAACACATACACACACAATAAAGAAGGTCCCAAGCCTTTCAAGTCAGGAGGATTTAGTTCATAAAACTCACTGAAGTTCAATTCATATGAATAACTTAGGGTCTAACCTTGCTGTATCAGCAATGAAAGACCAGTAATGTAAGTGCCTTTTCTGGGAGGCTGTCATATTAGGGCTTTAGCTCCCCAAGCAGACATGTGGATTCCAGGTACTGTTTTTTTGGGGGGTGGGAGTAATTGGGGTTAAGTGACTTGCCCAGTGTCACACAGCTAGTAAATGTCAAGTGTTTGGTCTGAGGCCGGATTTGAACTCAGGTCCTCCTGACTTCAGTGCCAGTGATCTATCCACAGCGCCACCTAGCTGCCCTGCAGGTGCTGTTTTATGGGGTTAAGATAGACGTCTGGCTCCTGTAACTTAATAGCGGTTTAGGGCTAAGGTTTAGAACTTGCCCAGGATTGCACAATGGAAAGAACACTGAATCTGTCTGGGTTCAAATCCTCCTTTTGAAGCTTAATGCTTAACTATCCTGGCCTTCAGTTACCTCAAATCTAAAATGAGGGAGGCAATTGGATTAGATAGCTTTTGAGAGCCCTTCTAACTCAGCGGCTATGATTCTATGAATCCTCTGACTACAAAGCCCCTTTCCACTGCCCCATGCTATCTTATTTTTTTTTTCCTTAAGAAAGCTACTCTTCGGGCAGCTAGGTGGCACAGAGGATAGAGCATCGGCCCTGAAGTCAACTCAGGAGGACCTGACTTCAAATCTGGCCTCAGACCAAACACTTGACATTTACTAGCTGTGTGACCCTGGGCAAGTCGCTTAACCCCAATTGCCAGGAAAAAAAAAGCTACGCTTTCTTTTACAAAGGCTAATTATATCACATTTTGCCAACATTTTCATCTTTAAGGAAAATAGTTTAAAAAAACACATAAAAACGTTAATGCACTGGAATAAGCTGCTATGAAACAATTCTGAACAGGCAGAAAATATAGATTTTCCTTTTACAGAAAATGTTAATAACAACTCTGAAACAGCAACATAATTTATATATGTGTGTGTGTATATATATATACACATATAAATATATACATATATACACACATACATATACATATATGTATATATAAAGCCAGTTTTGAAAACATCTTTTATACACAAAACATTTGATTCTGTTTTGTTCAAATAGGGTTTATATTGGAAAACTGATTTCCTCACATTATTTCAATTCCCAACATGTGCAGATGCTACTTGAAGGTTTAATTGATCAGCTGTAATCGCAAACTTTCCCAATATACCTTTAATCCAATAGCTTGGCTGACAGTGATTTCAGCTCTCTCATATATGGATGTGCTGTCAGGATCTGTTCAATTTTCATTCTTTGCTCTGACTCTGGGAATATCTTCAGGAGGGCTTCCTCAGCTCTTTGGTTTCTGTTGGGCATCTCTGTGGTGGAATTGTGAGGCTTGGTTGGATATTGGCTGGATTTTGTAGCATTGGGAGGTTAGGTTGCTGGGGAATCCAGTTGCTTGGAAGAACTCCTTGAATCAGGGAGGTGGATTGTCAGTTGGTACTGGGTGCCCCATGCTATCTTCTAAAAAATTCTACCCATTTCACAGATGCCTAAGTTTGGGCATGGAAGTTGTAAAGAGACTTTGAGAGAAGGTCAGAGGTGGTATATAAGTCCTCTTAACTTTTACATTTTGTTGCTGTGTTATGGATATCCTCCTTTCATTTTTATGTCTTTGCCTCTTTCCATAATAATAAAAGCCTTCAGGTTTACAAAGTACCCAAGAGCCCTGTGAAGTAGGCCACACAAGTATAATGCAAGAATTTTGATCACCATTTTGCATGGACAACACAGGGTCAAAGATGTTAAGTCACTTTCATATACTCACATAGCTAGCATATCCTCAATGTCAAGGCTAGAATGCTATTCTTCTGGTACAAGATCAGTGCTTTTATCATTATGCCGGTTACCTCTTCTACATAGCTAGTTCTCTATTACTAGTATTAGTAATTGGCAGCTTGTCAATGTCTTTCCTAAAATGTTTTGCTCAAAAATGAACATGAGAAACTACATTTTGCTGAAAATGTTGAAAGGAAAATTCTTTGTTTGGGCTTTCACTTTAATGAATGAGGCAAAACTCAGTATTTAAAAAGTCAGAATTAAAAGGATTTTATTGTAAGTATGTCAAGGTAGCAACACAGTGACAGGCTGACATTGTAGATCAGAAATGGCTTTTATAGGTAACTTTAAGACAATTTAAAAAAAAAGACAATTCAGCTAGGTCCACTTCAGCAAGAGAAGTTGGGCCCTTGAATCTCAGTTCCTCCCGAGGTAGCAAGAATGTGATAATTTGCAGGTAGGGGTACATGACAAAGAGCAGGTGATACAGAAAGCTACAGACTTGGTGTCTCCTTCCCCACTAGAGCCTCCCTCAACAATGATTGATAAGCAGGGCAGGGAACAATGGGATCCTGAGTCAACATAACTTTTAAGAAAAGGCTACCATAGAAAATGAATTCATTTCAAAACTTAGTATTGGCATAGCATCTAAATACCTAAAGGAGAAGTTAAACATTTCAGTTAATGGGAGAAAGAGGTAAAACTATCATAATGAGGGACATCAATAATAACCTTTTTAGAACTGGGTAAATCTACCATAGTATTTTTTTCCCTACTCAATCAATATTTCTATAAGATATATGTGCCCAAGTGAGATATGTGTGTCCATGTGGGTCGTCTAAATGTATAAGTTACAACTTCAGGGTAACATAGATAAACATCTCTGAAATTTGGGGTCCACTCCTTTCCAAGGGAGATTGGACAGGAACAAGAGAAAGGGTTTATCTTTCTTATATGCTATCCAGATTATCAACATCTTCCTTAAACCATGGTGAGTGCCCAGTCCTGAACATTCCAGTTATGGTCCTACCAGGGCAGGGTGCAAAAGGACCATCACCCCCTTCTTCCTAGAAGTGATACAACCCAAGGTCACTTTAGCTTTTTTGTCTGCCATGTCACACTACTGACTACTATTGAGCTTGTACTGCAGTCTACCAAAACCCTAAATCTTTTCAGACAAACTGCTATGTACCTATGCCTCCCCTATCTTGAACTGGGTATGAAAGACCTTCACTACATATTACCAAATTACCTTCCAGAAGGGTTTATGTGTATGTGTGTATACATATGCACATGTACATAATTCACACACACACACAGGCACATGTATGCATGTACATATATGTGTGTGTGTATATACGTACATATATACATGTATAGGTATATATACATATGCATGTGTATATAATGTATACATTTATACAAACATATTATTGTAAGCTTATATTTCTCTGCAGAAAAAGATGGTTTCAGAGAAATCTAGGAAGCTGGAGTGTATCCATAGGACAACTGGTACAGTGAGAGGCTCAAAGACCAAGATCAGTTGAAGGAACTGGGGATATTTGACCTAGAAAGAGAATTAGGGGGGAAATAATGTCAGTCTTTAAAAATCTGAAGGGCTGTCATGTATAAGGGGGTTTAGA